ACCGTTTGCATCTGTGCCTAGGACGCGGCGTCTCCCGGACTGACAACTAGAAAATAATGTTCGACATTTTACGAATTATTGTTTATTAATGTATTTTAATACTGTGAACGTTGGTAAAATTTTGTTTATTATATTATTGGGGTGGGCTACTTTTCGGGGACCCAAAGCACGTAGTCTGCTGCATTGATTCACACCTGGAACGGAAGTAAGAATGAATTTTACACCTGTCTCCTCCATCTTTTTTTCTCTTTTATTTTCTCTTCCTTTCTTTTCTCTTCACTGGCTGAGGACATCAATTGATGTCACTGCAATGCCTCTGACCGAGTCCCGACGGTGGCAGGATTTTGACACTAGCTACGTACGTAGGTCCAATTCAGCCGCTCGCTTTCTGGAGAGGATTCTAGTGGCCGGTATCTCTGATTAGCAGTTTAGCAGTTTTCCGAGATTTCTCCGATCAACGCCAAACGCGAATGCCAGAGCAGTACCCTAACAAACGGACCAGAGATGGTTCGCGATCTACCCTTTCCCTTCCTTGTCCTTTCCTCACTCCTTACATCAACATTCTTACGTGCACGACACTTGCCGGGAGACCAGTAGGGAGCTTAGCTTGTCCCGACCGGGGCGATGCCCCGCTGGTGGGAAATACCTGGCTGAGGAATACCCTGCTAACCGATGTGTAGGTCGGCTCCAAATCTCAACATTCATCCGAGGAAGATTATCGCCAACTCACAACGAAGACGCATGCACTACACTTGCGCAACAACGACCTTAACAGTTGATGTCCCCGGAATTACTAATCGCACAAATATCTTTTCCTTTCTCTTCCATCTTTTCTATTCCTTTCCGCTTACAAGTTGCGTTGCGCCGCGATCGTGTGTAACCAAAGCGCGCGCGGGGCGCTGCGCAGCGGGCGGTGCCTGGGTGCGCTGCACTACGCGGCGCTGGGCGGGCACGCGCGCCTCTGCGAGCTGCTGCTGGCGGCCGGGGCGGACGCGCAGCAGGAGCGCGCCGGCCACACGCCGCTGCAGCTGGCCGTGCTGGGGCGCAGCGCCGAGGCCGTGGCGGCGCTGGCGGCGCGCGGCGCGCGCCACGACGACTGTTACGCCGCGCTGCTGCTGGCCGTGCGCGCCGACGTGCCCGACTGCCTCGAGGAGCTGCTCAGGTGAGCCGCCCTCCACACCCGCACAAATGGTGACGCCGCCACTTCGCGACGCGCGTTGCCTTCCCACGGCGCGGCCGCCGCGCGCTTCGCAGCGGCGCGGCGCGTAGCAGAGCATTGGTTTCAATGGAGGCCTTCCCACGTGCAGCGGGTGGCGGCTGCTGCGGCAGCCGACGCCGAACTCCAGCCACGCGAAGCGGAGGAGGGGGCACGCGCCACCGCTAGCAGAACACAGCTTTAAATGGGAGCGTTCCCACTGCGCCGCGGCCGCAGCGTTCTACCTGCTCCGGTCCCTTTGTTCGTCGTCGCCGGAGGGTCGGCGAAACCTACCCCTCCAGACCCCACCCCCTTCCACGGCGGGCGGCGGTGCGGCCGTGGCTCCGGCGGTGGCTGCGTCGGAAGGGCTCTGCTGCTTGAACGAAGCGCGCCGCGGTCCCGCCGTGGGCAGGCGCCCTTAACTGACACATTCGGCAGTCGCCGCGCAGCGAGATACTACTCGCCCAATCCCGAACTGCTGTATTCGGAGAATGTTCGCTCCCTTTGATGCGTCCTAAAAACCGACGGGGTGGGTAGGGCGAGTACCGAATGCTCGGCGAACCGCAAGCAACCCGTCCACACTACTCGGGATTCGGCGAGCGGTTGCTCGGCATTCGCCGAATGTCGCATGTGTGGAGCCGCCTTTATGAGCGCGGCAGGCGAGCGCCGCGGCAGCGGATTGGCAGGGTTTTATTACCTGTGAATTTTGGAACGCAGTCGGACGCGTTTTGACCGCTGCCGCAGGAGTTTGGTGGAAGTCCGCCCGCCTTCGGGAGTCTTCTTCGCTCCCCTATGGATCGAGCTCCCTTGGCCTTTGTTTAACGGATGAGGAAAACTGTCACCAAACGCTGCCATAATTGATACTTTCGTGTGAACTGTCCCGCGGATTTCGTCGCCGCCACTATCCGGGAACGTTTCGCTCAGCACCCGCTGCGGGTTTGAGAGGGGAGTTACATCGAAATAGTTATATAGGTTAGCATTTTGTGGGGAGAGGAAAACGTTAGCTAGCACATTCCAAAAGCATCCAGTGATTCTGGCCCTAAAATGGAATACTGTCAGCACATGCAATCGTTTGCCAACATTAAAGTGTTGCTCCCACAACAATCAAATCCCATCCTTCAAAACATCTGTTCAGTTTCCGATAACCTAAAGAAATAGTTTCCTCGCCTCTATGTCTCTCCCACTCTATACCTTTCTATACTCTTACCGTAAATTTCGTAACATTAATAACAGTCGCTATAGAGGTGGGAAACGTCATTGTGGATGTGGTCGCTCAGAATTACGGGTATGATACGCTCATTTGCAGATAGTCGTGACACAGTAGTGCACCAGTCCATTGCGTAATATTAATACAAACTAACAGTCGCCTGTAAAGGCTGCCGATCTGGTTAAATAATAATAATAATAATTATATTAATAATAATAATAATAATAGTAATAATAATAATAGTAATAATAATAATAATAGTAATAATAATAAT